TGCCCAGACCCCTTGCACACACATTCCCTTGAGACATAGCCTGTTAGTCATAGTGCCCTAGAGAGAAGTGTGACCGACGTTAGTCAGCAGTGACATGTGTCAGCCAGGCATAGAATGAGAAGTCTGGTCTCAGAGAAACATCTCAGGAAGTCCACTGTCCCCCAAACTGGCAAACGAACTACTACTGTGGGTTCCTGAAACTGTAATTCTTTGGGGGAGTCGAAAGCTCATCTTTCTCCCGAAGAGTGGCTGGTGACTTTGAACTGTTAGCAGCCAAACACCTAACCACTACACTACCATGGCTCCTAAAACCGGAAAGCCCCTGGCAAATCAGGATGTGTTGGTCAGCCTCTCTCTCCACTCTCTTTGTTACCACAGGCGCACAGAGGAGAATGAGGGCAGTTGATGGGGCCACCTCCTTTCCCCTTTGAGAAACAAAGCAGAAACATGCGTGGGGATTGGAGTTCCTGGGAGCCAGAAAGGAAAGGATTCCCCATGTCCTACGGCCGTCTTCCCTGTTGGTGTGGCTGGAGAAATGCCAATTGTATCCACTCCAGAAACGATGAATCACTTAGGTGGAACACATATCTTTCTTTCAGGATTTTCCATGCAACTTTTCATCATGAGCTACCTCCTCTGCAGTGGCTAAACTGTCTGGGGATGGCTCTGCTTTCTTTCCAAGGTTCTGCTTTCCCTCGGGCATCAAATTAAGTGGGGCTTCAGTTCTCGCTGCTGGATTGCCATCTCCAGGAGGGTGGGGGCTTTGCATCCCAGCGCTCCACACACTCTGGGTGCTCACAGCACTCCAAACGTTTGCAGGAGGGATGCAGCAATGAGCGAGAGAAAGAAGCAACTCTAGACAGCGGAAGCATCACTTTTCTCTCTCATCCCGCACCTTGCTCATTTCTGGTCCAGCTTCTACCCAAGCTGAGTCGGGCCCCCTGGTGGTGCAGCGATGTCTGTGCGGAGCTGCTAACCTCCGCGTCAGCAGTTTGAACCACCAGTTGCCCTGCAGGAGGAAACTGACGCTATAGGCTCCTGTAAATATTTAAACTCTGGAAGCTCCCAGAGGCAGTTCTACTCTGTCTTACAGGGTCTCTGTGAGTCAGAATTGACTCTTTGGCAGTGGGTTTTTTAGCTAGGTTCCCATGATGGGCTGGGGTGTTGCTTGATGCTCATTTACATGCCTCACGTACTTGGGAAATAGTGCTATTTCATTACAACATAGTGGGGCTTGTGCAAAGGTGTGAGTTAAATCCTGTGCACTGTGGATGTGTTTCAATGCAAATATCAGATCAGTCTCAAGCCAGACCACTAAGCATATTTCACTGAAATGAAGTTTATGAATCTACAGGTCATTGGTGATTTGCGATGTGGCATGGTTGCCGCTGATACACTGTTTTTTTGCCATTTCAGGCACTGACAGTCACGTCCTGCTCATGTGTGTAAGCGGATTCCCACAGCAGCATTTGCTGTGGAAGGCGGCCTAGATGAGGCGCTTACCTGTTCTGAACCGTCTGCACCATTCCGCCCATCCCCGTGTACATGTTAGCAGTGGACATCCAGAAGTCGGTAACCAGCATGTTGGCAAACACAGACACGCCGGCAATTGCACAGATGCCTGTGGGCAAAGAACAAGAAAGCTCTGGCATAGCTTCAAAGGGGTCACAATGTTTCTGAGGCAACTGAGAGGGAATTTAAAGGCTTAAGTGAGCTTAGATGAGTAGGACTATTTCATCTCTATACAAAATGATCAATCTAACATTGATGATTGAATTGTTATTATATGGTAGACACCATGTGAAGCACTTAAAATAGCCATCTCATTAATGGCGGTAGGATTTATGTGTTTGTGGGAAGACATTCTTTCATGCATTCTGGAACCAGGGGTCAATAGTCTAAATCTTTGGGGTCTTTTCCTTTCATGATGTTGAGCATAGGTCCTTAAAGTCACTTTCTAGAGTCTCACCAAAAAAATGCTGCTAGGCAACCCAAACTCACTACCATCCAATGGGTTCTGGCGCATAGCGACCCTGTAGGTCAGAGTAGAACTGCCCCTGGGATTTCTGGGACTGCAAATCTTTATGGGAGTATAAAGCCTCCCATAAAGAGTGGCTTGTGAGTTTGAACTACTGACCTTGTGGTTAGCAGTGCAACCTGTGGCCCACTGTGCCACCAGGGCTCCTAATCCTTTTAGAGATGCAATTCTATAACTGTTTCATGGTTGAGAACGACTTACACATACAATGGGCTGGGAGTAACATCTTGGTGGAGGGACCTTAGCACTCATGTTAATTCTACTGAGTGGACTAGACCGCTGAACGTACATCTCACATCCCAGTATAAAAAGCTTTGGCCCAGAGCATGAACACTGGTACAGATAAGAGCTTGCAGCACAGAGAATCCAGGACAGATAAACCCCTCAGGACCAATAGTGAGAGTAGCCATACCATGAGTATAGGTGGAAGGAGTGGGGGAAAAGGGGGAACCGATCACAATGATTGACAAAACCCCTCACCCCACCTCAGGGGGACGAACAACAGAAAAGTGAGTGGAGAGAGACAGTAGTCCCCCCCACCCCACCTCAGGGGGACGAACAACAGAAAGGTGGGTGGAGAGAGACAGTGGTCGGTATATGATATGAAAAATAATAATTTCTAAATTATCAAGGGTTCATGAAGGAGGGAGGGTGGGAGAGGGGGGTAAATGAGCTGATACCAAGGGTTCAAGTAGGAAGACAATGTTTTGAAATGATGAAGGCAGCATATGTACAAATGTGCTTGACACAATGGATGGATGGATGAATTGTGATAAGAGCTGTAAGAGCCCCCAATAGAATGATTAAACAAACAAACAAACAAACAAGCAAACAATAAAGCTCTGGTCCACGCTGGCAGGGGCGGAGGAGCCCCATTTCCTGGACAGCTTGGCTTTTGCTTTGGACATTTCAGGAGCACCTTTGAGAGTGAGAAGCCCGGCGCCTTGTTTACCTGAGATGATGAACATGATCCCAGAGGTCAGCGTCATGTTGGCTTTGGCAGAATCCTCCATGTTACCGATGCGGATGCACTTCAGGGCGAAGATGGACACCAGGAGGCCAATGGCCCCCAGGACGATGCCCACGATCATCAGGGCTCGCACCGCCTGAAGCATGGCTGTGACGGAAGGGCAAGATGGAAACACACAAGTCAGACCACCTGAACAGGGCTGATTACAGAATGCGCGGCCAGTGTCATACAAAGCTGGAAATCCGTAGAGGAATCAAATGAGATACTGTATTAAGCAAATCTGCTTCAGAAGACTTTTTATTAAGTTTAAAGGAACAAAGATATCTCTTTAAGGATTTGTGTTCCCCTCACCTAAGCCATGGTATTTCCAATCGTCTCATAAGCTAGATAATGAATAAGGGAATCCGGAAGAGAGAATGGATGCGTTCGAGTTATGGGGCTGGCAAAGAACATGGAAAGTCCATGGCCTGCCAGAGGAACAAACTACTCTGTCTTGGAGGAAGTACCACCAGAGTGCTCCTTAGAAGTGAGAATGAAACTTCACCTCCCTATTTGGATATGCTTTCAGCAGGGATCAAGGAGCCCTGTGATGCAGTCGTTCCTCATTGGGCTGGGACCCGCATGATTGGCAATTCGAAACCACCAGCAGCTCCACAGGGGAAAGATGGGGCTTTCCACCGTCTCAGAAACCCCCCGGAGGTCGCTGTGACGCAGCATTACGTCCTGGCGGTGAGACGAGTGAGAGGATCAGCAGGGATCAGTCCCTGGGAAAGGAGACCACCCCTGGTAAAGAAGAGGGTCAGAGAAAAAGAGGAAGACCCCGATGAGATAGAGTGACATAACGACAGCAACAATGGACGTAAACCTCATAATTTGGGGATGGCGCAGGACTGCCGGGGTAGGGCTTTATTCTGTTGTCCATAGGGTTGCTATGCGTTAGGACGAAACTGACAACACCTAACAACAGCAGCACATATCATGCTGAGGATGAGCGTCAGGATCGAAGGCACTCAATACACACGGGGCAGCAATGCTAAGCCCACAATACCAATGACAATGAACTTGGTGCTAGTCTAGCTGACGTCTCATCCTGCTGTACATCATGGGGTTGTCGTGAGTCAGAGCCGACTCACCAGCAAAGAACAACAACGGCATGACTGATTAGACTCTGGATTAAGAAGACAAAGCCACCATCATCAGACCTTCGAGAAATAGCAAGTCCATAAGCCATGGAGTTTTCATTGTCGAGGGATATGGAATGGCGGGGAGAGCAAAACATGTCATTTACAATCCTTTGACTGATGAGAAGCGTGCATGCAGATATCTATAGAATAAGAATATTAAGAACAGTGTGAGCTGGAAGAACCCTTGGGATTTTAAGTAACCCATTTTGCATCTTGTTCTTCTGGGGTTTAGGAAGGGGGAATGGTTTTTCTCTAAAGGGAATGGCTTGCTATTCTAAATTATTGAAAGAGGTCCTAGTACAATAATAGAGTGGTGAACTCTAATTCAAATATCTTTCTTTTCTATTCTTTCCATTTCCATATGGGCTTAATGCTTCATATAGCTTTGCTCACTTTAGGAAAACCTTTGTTCAATTATGGCATATAATGAAGCCAAGACTTCTAAGTGATAGACTGTGGTAGTTACATAATCTGGTGTCAATTTGAGGACTGGAGTCTAGCCAATCCGAGCCAAAGTGTCGGGTTGGAGTCTAGCCTGTCAATCAGGATATAGCCAATGAGACCTCTGTGTGGGCATGGCCATTTTCTGAGGATTCTGGAAACTCTTGTATTTCCTCCTTGGAGGTGGGAGTCTCTCTCTCTCCTCACTCCCAGTGAGACATCCCTGTGGAGAAGACACATGGAGAGAGGCTGATGGAACCAGACCTCTGGAGCCAGAGAAGTCACATGGAGACCCCTGCCAGTGCGGAGATGCTTACAACACCACTGGATCCACAAGACTAACCACCCACTAGCCTGTGATCTTCCTGCATTCAGATTCATTGCATGTGTTTCATGAGTCTGAAGAGGACTTTATAGATTGATATTGGACATATGGGCTAATATTGGACTTATGGACTTGGCCAGGTTGTTTTCTCAATATTCAATTGCTCTTGTATGTAAAGCTCTTTCTAATATACATATGCATATCTATGAATTTGTTTCTCTAATCTGCGCAGGCTAATACATAGACCAAGGTAGGTTCTATAGTTTTGTCTCTTTCCAAAGGGATTATTAAGGCAATGGTTAATGCCTCAAGTGTATATAAAAAGTCCAATATCTCAATCTTGGACTTTTCAACTGGACCATAGTTTATTCCTGTTACAGGAATCAATGGTAGCTGTGGGTCCTGATGGGACTCTGTCAATCACCCAGGGACAGGTGGGCATGACAGTATGGGATTGCTTTACCTATACCCAGAGTTATTTCTAGTGCATCTTGAAAGATACTCAACAATTTTTTCTGAGTGACTGGATACTGGGGCGACAATATTCAATAGATCAGACAGTCTCTGCCCTCATGGAACTTATGCTGAAGTACAGTAATTAAACATATCAATTCTAAGTATGTTAGAATTATATAAGGAAGATCAGTGAGTGTTCAGTGTCTTTCAGAGAGATGAACCCCTAGTATGGGTAGTTTGATAGAAGAAGAGTATGACACTACATGGAGAGGTCATGTGTTTTATCTCCCCAGTATATCTCCCTTTATCCTCTCACCCATGATTAATTTTATATCACCTGTATCATGTTTTATATAAATAAGTTTTGCATCACAGCTTCTGAAACCATTTACAATTTGTAATTACCATTCTGTCACAAATCAATCATCTGGAAACATATCACGTTTGATGTTTCAGAAATGTCAAATTGTGATAAATATTTAGAAATATTTATTCTCCAAAAGCATTCCAGGAGTTTTGGCACTGGAACTGTTCATATGAGAAACAAACAGCTTATGGGTCAGCACAGTCCACAGGCCATACTTTGAGTTGCACTACTGAGCCTGACTTTCAGGTCATGCCCCACCCCACAGGGCAGCTCATGACCAAAGTTGATCAGTCCAACATGAGCATTTGACTCAAACTGGACATATGAGACCTTCATGCACAATGCTAGTATTTTGAACTTCAGCCAAAGGTGAGAGCATCAGTCAGCCTCTCTTCATGGCTGAAGATGTACAAAATGGCCCTAAGAATCCACCAGGTAGAGATAGCTGGTGAGACCAGACCCAAGAGGGAGATCGAGAGTCCTGACAGTGTGAGCTCCCAAGAGCTCTAGCATCTGACAGTTCTAGCCACTCTTTCCTTAGGTTCCAGAAGATATCCCAGGATCATTATATAATGGTCCTTTTAATGTCTTAAGCTAATTTAGGTTAGAGTTTGGTCACTTGAAATCCGTGGTTCAAGATGGTTTTGTCTGTCTCTGGAAATACACCCAGCAAGGCCTTCCTGTTGGAGACTTTCCACAGGGATCCAAAAGGATTGTTGAAGTGCCTTTCAGGCTAGGAGGGCCGCTCTTGACAAGTCTCTCAGCTACAAATGCACTACATCTACAGAGTACTGTCAGAGAATCATTTTTTTGTGTGTGTGTGAAAAAGCTTCATTTTCCCCAATTACATAAGCAATGAGTGATCATGCAAAATGTTCAGTTTCTACTGAAAACTATAAAAACAATAACCTGCAGTTCCACCTTTTGGAGATAGCTAATTTTAACAGCTTGGTGGATGGTCTTCCAGGGAGGCTTTTTAAAAGAGGAGGAACATCACCTCAGAGACAGTCTCAATAGGGCCAGACAAGAGAGTAAGTCAGGGTCAACTAGGACTGATTCCACCAGTTTCTAGAAGTGCTACCACCAACACTTGCATGTTGGAAAGTTGTGAGACCTTGCATCACAAAACCAAACAAACGAAACCAAACACACTAAACCAACCCAACCCAGCCCAACCCAACCCAACCCTACCCAACCCAACCCAACCACCCAACTTCCTGCCATGGGGTCAGTTCCCCCTCAGAGCTACCCTGCAGGACAAGGAAGAATGTTCCCTGTGCGTTTCCGAGTCTATAACTCTTTGTGGGAGTAGAAAGTCTCATTTACCTCCCATGGAGCTGGTGGGTTTGAACTGAGGCTGCTGTGGTTAGCAGCCCAACTCATAACCCCTACACCACCAGGGCTCCAGAGACCTTGCATAGTTCCAATAATGATGATGGGGGAGGGGTGGTGGTGATCCTAGGGTGTGCTCAAGGGGCCAGTTAATGCCCATGAAAAATTCAAATTTGAGGCTGGAACAGGAACAGGAGCAGTATTTAAAACCTTTTTTCTTCTTGAAGAAAATACCCAGGGCGATTCTACACTGCTATAGGTGAGAGACCCAGAGGAAGCTGTAAGTAAAGCAGAAAACTTTCTCCTGCCTTTATTGTCAGAACCAATTGTTATATTTGATGGAGAATCATTAGGACCTTTTCAGGTAGTTAATAATCTTCATCTTCATTAAACACCCCGAAATGTAGGTGATAAGATTACCTCCATTTTACAGTTGAGGGAATTGAGGGTCAGTGATTATGTAACTCACCCAAAATGACACATCGAGGGGAAGGCAGACCAGGTCAGATCCAGAACCGGCTCCAAAATCTTTGTTTGCTAATCACAGCACACTACTTTGAGGAATCTTATCTTGGAAAAATCTTTTCAAGGCATGGGTGGCTGTAGTTTCTGAGTAGAATATATCTACTAAACTTCAAGACCCTGCCATAAAGCATCATCTTTTGAAATGGATGCTAATAATTTTTAAAGGAACATTCTCCCCAAATCACCTCAGGGCGCAGCCTGTCCTGGGAGTGGTTTATAAATGTGAATCTCAGACGAGAGCTTCCCCAGCTCCTCGAGGCACCTTGGGAGGGAGTGCTCCCCCTTCTCTTCGGGGAGATTTCCATGTCAAATATGGCCAAGATCAGTGGAGCTGCCAGTTTATTCACTGTGAGGTGTGTTTCATGAAGCAATTTGTCATGATGGAAGAATTGGAGATCAATGAAAAATATTGATGAAAGAGAGGTAGATCATGTGTAATTTATTAAAGAGCCCTCTGAAGGGCCTGTGGAAGAGGCTCTGACAGCATCCTCACCAAGTACTCTTTTGTGCTGGAGAA